TTTAAGTGACTCACCAGGGTCATTAGGAGTCTAGGCTCTGAAGCAGAAGGCTGACCGTGCCGTGTATTAAATGTTAGCATGGGCTAGTTACTTACCTTTCTGTGTCTTCCATTCCTCCTTCTGAAAGAGTGGTGATCATAGTTGCCTCACAGGATCATTGCAGTGATTAAATCAATTAGTGCATGAAAAATGCTTAGAATGGGGTTTGGCCCATAAGTGCTCAGTATATTTTGCTGCTTTACTAGCCATTCTTATTTAGGTATGTTATAGTTGAGACACGAGCTGTCTTAAAGTGCAGAGATTAAAAAGTGGTTGGTTATGTGACTCTATAACCCAGAACTCAGATGTCTGGGCTGATACAAATTTGAGGACATCAGCCTAAAAATGGTATTTATGTTAAGGACATAGTAAAGAGAAAAGTAAAGTGGTCCTGGATTGAGCCCTGTAGGAGCCCCAACAGTAAATGTCAGAACATTATATTCTCCTGGGGTTTGGAACCTTCTCAGACTGAGACCTGCTCCTTTTATTTTGAATAACCCTGTTACTCTTATGGATTCTCCCAGAAAGGCTAATGAGTTCCATTAATATTAAATTAATATCTCTGCCTTCCTTCCCCTGAGCTAAAAGACTATGTAAGCTATAAATATAATGTTTGATTGACATTTAAAAACAAATGATCTTGGGGCGCCTGGGTGGCGCAGTCGGTTAAGCGTCTGACTTCAGCCAGGTCACGATCTCGCGGTCCGTGAGTTCGAGCCCTGCGTCAGGCTCTGGGCTGATGGCTCAGAGCCTGGAGCCTGTTTCCGATTCTGTGTCTCCCTCTCTCTCTGCCCCTCCCCCGTTCATGCTCTGTCTCTCTCTCTGTCAAAAATACGTGGAAAAAAAAAAATTAAAAAAAAAAAAAACAAATGATCTTTTACCATTGCCAGTAGCAGGATTTCCTTTTCTAAGGTAATTGAGGTTAGAAAAAGAAGTTTTAAATGATATGGCTATCGTTCTCTCTGAATTAAACAGTAACACTATATGCCTTGTTCTAATTGCTCGAGACTAAGCTGGGTAATGAGTTTCTGACCGTATAGGCTTAATTTAGCTGTCTTCAAAGGCTTGCTGGTACTTAAGACTTTAAAATAGTAATTGTTCTCTAATGTCCTGGATATTAGTTCCAGTGCATTTGAGGTCTCGCTCATATTTCATATATTTGAAAAAAATGAATGAAGAGTTTGTAATTACGTTTAGGACTATCAGTCATTTAAATCTCATGGTTATAAAAAGGGTACAGAAGAGTGGATATTCACTTGAGTGAATCTTTTTTTAACTTCTTTCCTCTTACATTCCTTTTCACATGTTTTGATCTCCTTTTGAAAATAAGTTTGTAAGTAAAAGTTCACTGCGTTTGACAAGACTTTGTATATTTAACTCACATATGAATAGAATTAAATAGTCCTGGAAATGGGTACAATCAATTGCTTTAAATTGTGCTTCAAAATTATGGAATATAGCAATTTTAAGTTGATACCTTTTTGGAATGGTGGTGGCCATCTGAAGATTTTATCCAGAAGGACAAAGCAGGAATAATGTTTCACCTTTCCTTATGATATTTTCCTAAAATGATCTGGTAGAAGAAGATGTATTATTTAAATCAAAATGAGGCATATGGGAGAATCCACTGGGATAAAGAAAGAAAACATGAGGATTTCTCTTAAAAAAAAAATCTGGCCCTTTAACATTTGTATTTTTATATTTATTTTATATAATGTAAAAGTATTAGTGATAATACATATTTATAATTTATGAATGTATATTTCTTATGTGACACACCCATCCCCTCAGTTGTCTCTACTAAGAATGAGTAAGGAACTGTCATTGATCAGAGGAAACAAAGGAGATACGGCTAAATGTAGTATGGGATTCTGGAACAGAAAAAGGACAGTAATAGGGGAAACAAGTGAAATTCACATAAGTTTTGTAGTTTTTTATAGCATTATAGGAGTGCCAATTTCCTGGTTTTGACCATTACTCTGTTTTTGATGATAAATGGTTACTATTAGGGGAAGCAAGATGAAGGGTGTATTTGAACTCTACTGTTTTGTTTTAAGAAAATTTATTTTTTCTTAAAGTTTGTTTATTTTTGAGAGAGAGAGCAGAGGAAGGGCAGAGAAAGAGGGAGACACAGAATCCAAAGCGGGCTCCAGGCTCTGAGCTGTTAGCACAGAACTCAGTGCGGGCCTCGAACCCACAGATTGTGAGATGATGACCTGAGTCAAAGTCGGATGCTTAACTGACTAAGCCACCCGGGAGCCCTGAACTTTCCACCGTTCTTGTAACTTTCCTATAAGTCTAAAATGATTTCGAAATGATTATAACCTATTGATTTAGAGGACTGAAGGATAATGATTGAAAAGCATGTATGTGTAGCACACTATATTAGACACTCATAACTTAATTTGAGTAGAAGTAGGCTTTGTAGCATTTCATTTTATTTGTGAAATTTTAGTGGATTGGCAAAGAACTGTGACTGGAAGTGTCAGGGCTGTGCAGAGTGTCAAACAACAGATCATTCAAATCAATTTCTGATTAATTTTGCAGCAGATTGGTCTTTCTAGTCAAACTTAGTTTTATTTGCCAAATGGACACACCTGGCCTAAGGAAGGAAATGGCCATAAAACTAATCAAGAATGGATGGTTACCATATATGGCCATCTGATTTAGGGTAAAGACACCACTGCACTTACTGGAGAAAGGATGAGCGTTTGATAAATGTCCTGAGTGTAATCAATCAGGGGAAAACGGGTACTTCATGAAAGAAGATATCCATATGACCAATAAGCATATGAAAGTACTCTCTGCTTTATCAGTTGTAAAGGAAACGCCAGTTACAAGCACAGCAGTGAATCACTGCACCCCTCCAAAATGGCCAACATTAGCAGAACTGATAATACCACCTGTCCATCAGCATGTGGGACTATTAGAGCTCCCAGGATGCTTCTGGGAGTGTAAATCATACAACCACTGTGGGAAAACTAAAGCTGAACATACATCTATCTACTCTGTGACCCTGTAGTTCCATTCTTAGATCTGTACCTT